ACGAATGTTAGATAAAATTATTATTATAGCTAATCAAACTTGTCTTCGTAACTATAAATATTAACATAATAAAAAAACAAAACGTATATCTTATTGACATACTTTGAGAAATGTTGTACAATTTGTTCGATGAATGTTTTATGAATTATGTCTTACATTTATTCTAATAATGAATATGTCGAAATGATGTTTATATATGACTTTTGTAATAGAAATGTTAATATTATTATTGTAGTTTTGAATATTCCATGTGATTTCTGAATACATTTCTACATAAAATTGTCTTGGAGTCTATATTTCAACTTAAGAAAACATCATGGAGAATGAGTGAGAAAAAACTTATAAAAATCCAATGAACAATCTTAATTTTTTGTAAAAAAGAATTATTCAAGCGTGACAGAATAGATTTAATTTTCGTAGCTAAATTTATATATGTTTGAAATTTGGTGACATTTGGTGAAATTTGGTGAAATTTGGCGAGAAAAAATTTAATGAAGTGCTAAAATACAGTGATAAAAATAGATCTAATTACAGCTGTTCTACAACTTGATGTCGCAAATAGATAAAATATTTTTTTGTTTTGTTCTTCCCAGAAGTTTAAATATTTTGCATATGAATAATGAAACAATTTATTTGTAACCATCAATAAATTTATTTCACTATATAGTTTACTATATAGGATGAAGAAATAATTTTTATTGTCTTGAATATTTTTGAAATCATAAAAGAAAAATTTGTCCAATAAAAATTATAAGATACAGAAAGTTGGTAGTAAGCACTTTTTTCGAGGTGGAATAACTTTAAAGATCTGAAGATCAGCTTCATTTCTTTAAATTAAATCATATATTTTTTGTTATATAATATAATTCCTCTTGTTATTTTGAATATAAAAATATTAGGACATAGTTATTAAAAAGTCAACAATTTATGAAATATTTTATATTTTATTCTGATATAAAATATAAAATATTTTATAAACCATTCAGTTTTGTCAACCATATCTCAATTACTTTTATGCACAGAATATGAGATAAATCAATTGGTCTCATTATGTGTTTTATTATTAATAAAAATGATATGCTGTTGTTTTAAAAAAATTATATAATTAATAATATAAAAATATAATGATATTTTCAGGTTAATTCTTTCGTGAATAATCGGAGGCAAGAAAAGGAGAGATTTATGTTTCCATCCACTTTAGTTCCTTTCGTGCAAAGAAGTACACTATGCAATGGAGTGGTTTTGCGCGGCGATAAAAGAAAAGCAGCGGTTTTCGAAACTGTCGCGATTATCCTAAGCGCAATTCTACGGCGTTATAACGACAGATAGCGACAATTTGCACGCGAAATTATGAAAACTTGACGAGAAGCGCACTACGATTCTGTTACGATGTAATTTCATAACTCGCACGCGCGTTGATATAAAATCCAAGAGTTGTGTCGAAAGTTGCGACGAATTCCGATCGTTGATTTAAAATAGGACAAAACGGATATTGTTTCTGCGGAAAGACACATTTTTATGATTCTATTTGGATCAAAATATAGAATTGACATGGGGTACTTTCCATTTCCAGTGACGCAAGTCGACACAAATATCATTTTGTCCTTGTTAATCATTGAAAGCCAAGAAAGATAGAACGATACTTGTGTCGACTTGTGTCGCTAAATGGAAAGCACCCATTATGGGGAAAAGAATTATCGTAGAAGTTATCGTAGTCATTGTACAGCTACGACGAGCTATCAAATCATAATTTCTTGATAAAATCATTAAAGATTAAACATTTTTGTATATCTGATAATTTTATGGTTTTATGGAACTACGCGCGACGAGAAGAAGTACACACACTTTCCATGATTTCCAGCGTATCATTGAGTAAACAAAATTTCGATATATATATATATAGATTAGATTTCGAGCATCCCGAAACATACGAATGAAATGTCGAAATAATTTTGCTC